AGAGGGAGAAGCAGGCTTCTTTCCGAGCAGGGAGCCCGATGTGGGACTCGATCCCAGGACCCTGGGATCATGACCTGAGCCAAAGGCAGACGCTTAACTGACTGAGCCACCCAGGTATCCCTGGATACTGAAATTCTAATTTTTTAGATGAGAGGACTGATGCCCACTAACATGGAATAATTTGTCCAAGGTTACATAGATGTTGCTATTGGTTGAAAGAGGACTCACCTTGACCTCTGCTTCTCCTAAATGAGACCATAGGCAATGGCTTCCAGTAACTGTTAAATGTAGGCATGCTCTGTAGTGGTCTATATACCCTGCCTTATTATGTCTGGAGACAGAAGAGTGTAGAGAACACTGAGAGAGCCCATCCTATCTTATATGGAATGCAGATTAACTGACCACAGTTAGGGCCACCCCAAAGGGAAGCCCCTGTGAGAGCCAGAGTCCTTAATCTCAGCTTTGCCACAAATGCTGGAATAGGACCCACTTTTTTTTAAAGTTCTAATAATAACAAAGCTTTTATAATTTGATATCTTATTAAAAATTCACTTCTATCTCAACAAAGAAATGAGAAATCAAAACAATATGGTATTAACACAAAAACAGACACATAGATCAACAGAACAGAATCAAGAGCCCAGAAATAAATCTGCATGTATATGGTCAATTAATTTATGACAAAGGAGGCAAGAATACACAATGGGGATAACACAGTCTCTTCAATAAATGGTGTTGTGAAACCTGGACAACTACATGCAAAAGAATAAAACTGTATCATTTACACCATACACAAAACTAAACTCAAAATGGATTAGAGACCTAAATGCAAGACCTGAAACCATAAAACTCTTAAAAGAAAATATAGGCAGCTATCTCTTGGACTTTGGCCATAGAAATATTTTTCTGGACATGTTTTCTTGGGCAAGAAACAAAAGGAAAAGGAAACTTTTTGGACTACATCAAACTAAAAAGCTTTTGCAAAGTGAAGGAAACCATTAACAAAACAAAAAGGCAACCTACTGAATTGGATATATCCATTAAGGGGCTAATTTCTAAAATATGTAAAGAACTCAACTAATAATACTACAACTCAACTAATAGTAAATACTAAAAAACCCCCAAATAATTCTTTTAAAAAATGGGCAGAAGACCTGAATAGACATTTTTCCAAAGAAGAGATACAGATGGCCAACAGACACATGAAAATATGCTCAACATCTCTAATCATCAGGGAAATGCAAATCAAAACTGCAATGAGATATCACTTCATACCAGTCAGAATGGCTAGTATCACAAGACAAGAAACAAATGTTGGTGAGGATGTGGAGAAAAGGGAACCCTAGTACTCTGTTAGCAGGAATGTAAATTGGTGCAGCCACTGTGGAAAACAGTATGGAGGTCCCTCAAGAAGTTAAAAATAGAAATACTATATGATCCAGTAATTCTGCTGGGTATTTACCCAAAGAAAACAAAAACATTAATTTGAAAAGCTATATGCACCCCTATGTTTACTGCAGCATTATTTACAATAGCCAAGATATGGAATCAAATAAGTGTCCATTGATAGATGAACAGAAAAAGAAGATGTAATGCACGTGCATGTACAGGTGCACACACACACACACACACACACACACACAAAATATGGAATACTACTCAGCCATAAAGAAGAATAAGATCTTGCTATTTTCGACAACATGGTTGGACCAAGAGGGTATTATGCTAAGTGAAATAAGTCAGACAGAGAAAGACAAATACTATTATGATTTCACTTATATGTGCAATCTAAAAAAACAAATGAACAAACGAACAGAAGTAGACTCATAAATACAGAGAACAAACTGGTGGTTGCCAGAGGGGGAAGGTAGGGGGTTGAGTGAAATAGATTAAGGGGATTAAGAGGCACACAAAAAAGTAAATGAGAAATCAGATTGCTTTATCTACATTTCACCTTTTGCTCTGGTTGAGAGATCTTATTTTAAAGGTCAATGATTTGTTTTTTTGAGGAAATATTATGTTTGTGAACATTTAAAAAAATCTGTTTTTAGAGAGACAGAGTGAGCCCACGCGCAAGTGGCAGGGGTGGGGGAGAGAGCAAAAGGAGAAGGAGGGAGAGAATCTCAAACAGGTTCCACACCCAGCACAGAGCCAACTGTAGGGCTCAATCTCATGACCCTGAGCTCATGACCTGAGCCGAAATCAAGAGTCGGATGCTTTACCAAATGAGCCACCCAGGAACCCCTATGTTTGTGAACGTTTAGAATATGACTATTAAAGATTCTTTCATCATGTTAAGAGGTTTAAATGGGCAAAACAAACTTTTCATCTGAAGAGCTGGAACACAAAACTCCCCTTTATTATTCCTGGTGACAAATTTATCTTTGACCTCATCTCTCCCCTTCATTCTCTATTCAGTCAGTCATTAAGTCCTTTATTTTCCTTTGAAGTATCTCCTGTATCTGTCCTTTACATTTTATTCTCATTGTGACCAACCATTGCTCATGTTGTTATCATGTCATCTTGAAATACTATAACCAACCTTTTGTTGGACTATTGGCCTTAAAAAAAAAAAAAAACAGTCCAAAGTTATACAAAATTCAAACATTATGGGGATATAGTTTACCAAGTGCCTTTTTCAACAATGATTAAGATAATGGATTTTCACTCTTTAAACTATTAACACAGTAGATTATATTTCAATTTTTAAAAATCTTTTTTTTTTTTAAAGATTTTATTTATTTATTTGACAGAGAGAGACACAGCGAGAGAGGGAACACAAGCGGGGGGAGTGGGAGAGGGAGAAGCAGGCTTCCCGCAGAGCAGGGAGTCCGATGCGGGGCTTGATCCCAGGACCCTGGGATCATGACCTGAGCTGAAGGCAGACACTTAACGACTGAGCCACCCAGGCATCCCTCACCACTTTTTTAAAAAAGATTTTTTATTTATTCATTTGAGAGAGAGCAAGCAAGAGCATGAGCAAGGGGGAAGGTCAGAGGGAGAGAGAGAAGCAGACTTCCAGCTGAGCAGGGTGCACAACTTGGGGCTCAATCCCAGGACCCCAGGATCATGACCTGAGCAGAAGGCAGACCCTTAACTGACTGAGCGACCCAGGTGCTCCCACTTTTATTCACCACTTTTATTCAACATAGTACTGGAAGTCCTAGCCATAGCAGTCAGACAACAGAAAGGAATAAAAGGCATCCAAATTGGTAAGGAAGAAGTAAAACATCACTATTTGCAGATTACATGATACTTATTATATACAGAAAACCATAAAGACTCCACCAAAGAACTATTAGAACTGATAAATGAATTCAGTAAGATCGCAGGATAAAAAAATCGATGTATAGAAATCTGTTTATTTCTATACACTAATAATGAAGGAGCAGAAAGAGAAATTAAGAAAACAATCCCATTTACAATTACACCAAAAATAATAACATACCTAGAAAATAAACTTAATCAAAGAGGTGAAAGACCTGTACTCTGAAAACTGTAAAACATTTATGAAAGAAATTAAAGATGACACAAACAAATGGAAAGATATTTCATGCTCATGGATTGGAAGAACAAATATTGTTAAAATGTCCCTAGTAGCCAAAACAGATTTAATGCAATCTCTATCAAAATACCAACAGCATTTTTCACAGAACTAGAACAAGCAATCCTAAAATTTGTATGGAACCACAAAAGATCCCCAACAGCCAAAGTAATCTTGAAAAAGAAAAACAAAACTGGAGGCATCACAATTCCAGACTCCAAGTTATATTACAAAGCTGTGGTAATCAAAGCAGTGTGGTACTACCACAAAAACAACAAACATCAATGAAAGAGAACAGGAAACCCAGAAATAAACTCACATTATATAGTCAATTAATCTTTGACAAAGCAGGAAATAATATGCAATGGGAAAAAGACAATCTCTTCAACAAATGACGTTGGGAAAACTGGACAGCTACATGCAAAAGAATTTCCTTTCTTACACCATACACAAAAATAAACTCAAAATGGATTAAGGATCTAAATGTGAGACCTTTCTAAAACCATAAAAATCTTGGAAGAGAGCATAGGCAGTAATTTCTCTGACATTGGCCCTAGGAACATTTTTCTAGATATGCCTCTGGAGGCAAAGGAAATAAAAGGAAAAATAAACTATTGGGACTGTATCAAAATAAAAAGCTTCTGCATAGCAAAGAAAGCAACCAACAAAACTAAAAGACAACCTACTGAATGGGAGAAGATACTTACAAATGACATATCCAATAAAGGATTAGAATACAAATTATATAAAGAACTTATACAATTCAACACTCAAAAAACAAATAATCCAATTAAGAAATGGGCAGGAAACATGAACAGACATTTCTCCAAAGAAGACATACAAATGGCTAGCAAACACCCGAAAAGATGCTTAACATCACTCATCATCAGGGAAATGCAAGTCAAAATCACAATGAGGTATCACCTCACACCAGTCAGAATGGTTAAAATAAACACAAGAAACAACCAGTATTGGCAAGGATGTGGAGATAAAGGAACACTTGTACACTGTTGGTGGGAATGCAAACTGGTGCAGCCACTGTGGAAGACGGTATGGAGGTTCCTTAAAAAATTAAAAATAGAACTACCCATGATCCAGGAATTGCACTCCTGGGTCTTTATCCCCAAAATACAAAAACTCTAATTCAAAGGGATACATGCACCCCTATGTTTATTGCAGCATTATTTACAATAGGCAGGTTTTGGAAGCTGCCTAAGTATTTATTGATAGATGAATGGATATGCTTGATCTTAGCCAAAAGGCTGAGAAGTGATTGATAGATGAAGAGGTGGTATATATACATATATGTATGTATGTTATGTGTGTGTGTGTGTGTGTGTGTGTGTGTATAATGGAATATTACTCAGTCATAAAAAGGGACAACATCTTGTCATTTGCAACAACATGGATGGATCTACAGGGTATAATGCTAAGCAAAATAAGCCAGTCAGAAAAAGACAAATACTATATGATTTCACTCATATGTGGAATTTAAGAAACAAAACAAACAGGGGCTCTGTTGTTAAGCGTCTGCCTTCGGCTCAGGTCATCATTCCAGGGTCCTGGGTTCAAGCTCCACGTTGGGCTCCCTGCTCAGCTGGAAGCCTGCTTCTCCCTCTCCCACTGCCCCTGCTTGTGATCCCTCTCTTATTATCTTTCTCTCTGTCAAATAAATAAATAAAATCTTAAAAAAAAAAAAAGAAACAAAATAAACAAAAGAAAAAAAGAGACAAACCAAAAAACAGACTCTTAACTATAGAGAACAGATGGTTTCCAGAGGAAAGGTGGGTGGGGGACGGGTGAAATAGGTGAAAGGGCCTAAGAGTATACTTATCTTGATGAGCACTGAGTAATACATGGAATAGTTGAATCACTACATTATACACCTGAAATGAATATAATAAAATAAAAAAAAAGAACAACAAGGGCAAACACACACCCTTACCTGTAGTTTTCCCAGATTTTGGAGGTCCCAGAAGTATAATCCTAATGGGCACAGTAGGCTTGGGTTTGGGTTGGCGGATATATTTGATTGGGTTCTTCATAAATTTTTCTTTAGTTTCCTTACTAGATAAAAAATAGATATACTGACGATGGATTACAGCATGGACTGGATTCTCTGAAGTTTCAATTGGTTTGATTGTCTCTCCTTCACTTAGCTGCAATATATACACAATTAAATTCATAGGTTTAAGTTATTCAGCATTTCCTCCAAATACATTTGAACAAATTTGTAAAATAAGAAAATCTTTCTTAACAATATATAAGAAAACTAATTATAGCCAAATATTATTATTAAAGACTATGTAAAAAGAACTATTTTATACCCATATGCAATTGATGAAATCTTCACTAGCTTTCAGTTCATGACAATTATAGTTCTCCTACTTCATTTATAATGTATTTAGTGTATGTTTTTGCCAAGGAGTGTAAAGTTATTTGCATATATTCATGGGCCAATTTATCCTCACAAACAGGTCCATTCCTAAGGTGGTGTTATGGATGGAAATGTGTTCCCCCCAATTCATAAGTTGAAGCCCTAATCCCCAAAGTGACTGTATTTGGAGATTGGGCCTTTAAGGAGGTAATTAAGGTTGAGATCATAAGAGTGGAGCCCTATCCAATAAGACTGGTGTCCTTATATGAAGAGGAAGAGGCACCAGAAGTGCATAAGCACAGAGGAAGGGTCACGTGGGGACATAGTGAAAAGGTGGATCATCTGCAAGCCAGGAAGAGAGGTCTCACCAGAAAACTGTCCCTGCTGGCACCTAGATCTTGGATTTCCAGCCTTAGAACTGTGAGAAAATAAATTTCTGTTGTTTGAGCCACCACATCTGTGGTACTTTGTTATGGCAGCCTGAGTAAACTAATACAGGTGGGGTCCTGGGTTATCTTTAGGGGCATACTGGTAGGACAAATCCCACAGGCATCTCATCCACATTTTATATAGGCAAAATTCCACTCACATAAACATCAAGAGCAGTCATAAAAGGGAAAAATACCTAAAAGCCTGCTTAAGGTTTAGGTATGGAATGGAGTGGGAGGAATGGTCCCACATATTTGCATTAGGTCAAGATGAGAACTGGGTAATTAATTGATGTTAGGTTTGGATATCTTTTTTTAGAGCATCAGATGGCCAAGTATCAGCCCATACTTGACAAAGTAGGTATGAAGCAGTACGGTTCAATTTGCTCCTTTACCAGAGCTACACCTAGACAGTTGTCACAGGTCAATGGTATTGTCAACATCAACATTTTTGGGCTGGAGTAAATGCTAGGTATAAGAAGAAACTCAGGGGTGGCGTGGGAATGTCTGCTGTATGTCTTATATTTGGTCATAAAAAAAGCTGAAAGTCTAATGATTCCATTTCAAATTCCCAAATTGAGAGTCCTTACAGTAGTTTCTGCTATTGCTCAAAATAATTAGCATGTATCCTTTCTCCTCTGTAGGTCAGATTACACAAAGTGTCATTAAATCAGAAATATCAAACTGTTATGTACCCAGGGGCACCTGGCTGGCTCAGTTAAGGGGCTGCCTTCGGCTCAGGTCATGATCTCAGGGTTCTGGGATCGAGCCCCACATCCGGCTCCCGCCTGGCGGGCGGCGGTGGGGAGTCTGCTTCTCCCTCTCTCTACCCCTCCCCACCGCTCATGCGCTCTCTCTCTCTCTCAGATAAATAAAATCTTTTTTTTTTCTTAAAGATTTTATTTATTTATTTGAGAGAAAGAGAGAGAG